ATGGAAAAATTGAAAAACCGAAAATTCTAAAAATCGACAATGGACAAATTGAAAATTGCAAAATTTAAATTGAAAAATTGAACATAGAAAAATCGATGAATTGAAAAATCGAAAATTCGACTATTCAAATTTTTTAAAAATCGAAAAATCATAAAACTGAAAAATCCAAAATTCTAATCATCGAAAGTCTGAAAACTGAAAATCGAAAATTCTGAAAAGCGGAAAATAGAATATCGAAAAATTTTAAAGAAAGAAAATTGAAGTCTAAAAACCGAAGAATGGAAAAATTAAAAATCAAAAATTCGAAAAATCAAAACCGAAAAATTCAAAGATTTAAAAAGAAAATCGAAAAATCAAAAATCTGAAAATTGAAACTCGAAAATTTGGAAAATCGAAAAGTAAAAAAATTGAAGTCTAAAAGCTGAAAAATAGAAAACTGAACAATCGAAAATTCGAAAATCAAATATCGAAAAATCGAAAAGCCGAAAAATCGAAAATTTAATAAATCAGATATGCGAAAAACAGAAAATCTGAAAATGCAAAACTGGAAAATCAAAAATCTAAAAATGGAAATCTGAAAATCGAAAATTCAGTGAATCTAATACGTAGGTCGATCGAAAAACTGGAAATTCACAAATCTGAAAAATCGAAAATTAGCAAGATTGAAAAACCGAGAATTGAAAAATCAAAAAACCGAAAAATGGAAAAATCAAAAATCGAAAAATAGGAAAACCGAAAATTCGAAAATTCATAATATTGAAAACTCTAAAAGTCGACAATTCAAAAACCAAAAAACTGGAAAGTAAAATAATCGAAAAATCGAAAAGTAAACAAATTGCAAAGCCTAAAAACTGACGAACAGAAAAATCGAAAAATCGTAAAATCAAAAAGTGGAAAATCGAAAACTGGAAATTGAAAAATCGAAGATTGGAAAATCGAAAAATCGAAAATCGGAATATCGATAATCGACAAATTAAAAAACCGAAAAATCGAAAAATTAAAAAATCGGAAATCGAAAAATGAAAAAAAAAACCCAAAATTCAAAAATCGAATAATCCGAAACTAAAATAATAGAAAAGTGGAAAAGTAAAAATTGCAAAGTCTCAAAACTGACGAACAAACGAAAAATAAAAAAAAAATCGAAAAATATCTAAACATGGAAAATCGAAAAATCGAAAATTCGATGAAACAAGTACTCGAAAAAGCGAAAAGTAAAAAAATTGCAAGGCCTAAAAATTGAAAAATCAAAAAATCGAAAAAATGAAAATCGAAAAAACGACGATCGAAAAAAAATCAAAAAATCGAAAAGTGGAAAATCGGAAAGTAACAAAATTGAAATCTAAAAGCTGCAAATTGCAGAACCATAAAAACTGAAACAAACAGAAAAATCGAAAAACCACAAACGCGGAAAAACGAAAATCGAAAAATCGCAAATCGAAAAATCGTAAAATCAGAAAATAGAAAATCGAATAATCGAAAGTTGAAAAATCGAAAGTCGAAAAATAAAACAACCCAAAAATCGAAAAATTTTATGATTAATGGAAAATCGAAAAATCGAGAATAGAAGAATTAAAAAACCGGAAAATTGAAAAATCGGAAATCGAAGAATTAAAAACGTAAAATCGAGAATTCAAAAATCAAAAAAATTGGAAAGTAAAATATAACCGAAAAATGCAAAAAAATTGCAAAGTCTAAAAACTGACGAACAGAAAAATAAAAAAATCTAAAAATGGAAAGACGAAAAATCGAAAATTGAAAGAATGGCAAATTAAAAAATCGAAACATCGAAAAATCAAAAAAACGAAAAATTGAAAAATCGAAAAACGAAAAAACTGAAAACTCGAAAAATCAAAATACCGCAAATTTGAAAAATCAGAAAATTAGAAAGTAATAAAATCGAAAAGTTGATAGAAAAATGGAAACTGAAAAATCTAATTCTATGAAACTGTTGGTCGAAAAAACGAAAAATCGAAAATCGAAGTGACCTTTTTTTGGACAGGCTGTATAAGTAAATCTAAAAAATATAACTGCAATGATAATATCAAATTTTACGATGACGTCATGCATTTTTTGGCGAAGATAAGCAAATACATTTTGATCGTGGCTTTGAAAGTATTCTTCAACTTTCGTTTCATTTCAAAATTTACTCTTTGTATATTTTGGTCACAACGAGTTCACTAAGTACGCTGAAGTATGCAAAGATTAAATTTGTCACCGAAAAGATGTCGGAAGTAATAAATTATCCTATCAGTGGAAGAACGTTCGGTCCGGGGTTACACCTCGACCCAAGAGAGACCGCAGTAAAGGATAACAAATGGAACGGATAAAATAAAGCCTCAAATATGATTGATAAACTTTAAACCAAAATTATGAAGTTTATAAACTGAATATTTTTTTTGCTTTTTGAAATGTAGTACACTTCAAAAAATGTCCGTGACTTACTTTAATGTGAATTTTATAACTATGGTTGGCACAATTAGACCTAATATTAATGTGATTTTGAGCATATTCTACATGTTATTAGAGCAAGACAGTTTTTTTTTCTAACTAATTGATAAGATTTCAAAGTATTCAGTTTTGCAATTCTTGATTTCTTCAATAAAATAAATTGACTCAGTCATTATTTTTTTTTAGTCATCCTGTATGTATAAACAAATCCAAAAAATATTAATGGAATGGTAAATCACAAGTATAGACTCATCATATTCCGAACATTTTAGATAGGGTATTTATAAAATTAAAACTAATTCAGAGTAAGAATTTGGTCAACACGTAAATTTCGTTGTAGTTTGAGCCTACCTACAAATTCTGCCCTTGGACGATTTGGACCACCTCCTTCGGTGACGACCGGCAAAAATGATCCGCCCATAGGCTCAAAACATTTGCGTGCGATTGTACCCAACTACCTACCTTAAAATTTTTCTAATGGAAACTTTTAAGTAAATGAACCGTTTATTTCACAACCATCAGTCTATCGCATCTGTCGTAGTACAGTGTCATACGTGGTTCTCCCTTGTTACATGTTGAGTTCTTTTTCGTAATATTACTAATATTTTAAAAGAATGCCGAAAGTAAAATCGACGCCGGATGAGTAGATAAGGGATTTTCCAGAATTAAAATTAGAAAACAACAAAATATTCTGCAGAGCTTGTGTGAAAACCGTAAGCGCACTAAGTTTTTTTATCTATTTTCCTTTGTTAATCCTGTATATGTACGTTGTTTTAGATTCAAAGTGATAAAAAATATAACGTGACGCAACATGTCAGAACGACTCTTCATGTAGAAAGGAAGAAAATGTTTGAAGTTTCTAAAATTAAACAGCAGACAATACATGAATCTGTTGCATCTACTTCCACAAAAGATGAGCAGTTTCAGTTTAATTTCGGTTTATGTAAAATGATGATCCAGTCCAATATACTTTTAAAAAAATTGGAGAAAGGCCCTCTTCAAGAATTCCTTGAAAAACACTGCAATCGACATATTCCGGTTGAAAGTACTCTCCGAAAAAATTATGTAGGCCCAGTGTTTCAGCTAGTTTTCAACGAAATTAAACATCGCATTGGAGATAATTATTTATGGTTCGCTGTCGATGAAACAACCGATAGTTGTGGAAGATACGTGGCAAGTTTAATTGTTGGAATCTTAAATGAAAATTTCCCTAGTCGAGGGTATGTAGTAAGTTGTAAGTAATGGTAATGTTAGATAAAACAAATGGCAATACGATTACCAGATTTGTAAATGACAGTCTTACGTCACTATTTTTGCCAAATAAAATTTTATTGATGATCTCGGATGCAGCTCGTTGTATGTTGAAAGCAGGGAATAATCTAAAAATATTGTACCACAATTTAATTCACTCTACTTGCATGGCCCACGGTTTAAACAGAGTGGCTGAAGGAATGCGTTTGCAGTTTCCTACTGTTAATAAATTAGTGACAAATGGTAAACAGATTTTTGTTAAAGCCCCACTAAGAGTGCAACATTTTAAGGAAAAATTTCCAAACATACCATTGCCCCCAGAGCCGATTATAACGAGGTGGGGAACATGGTTACAGGCCACATTTTATTATGACAAATATGTCAAAGAATTTGAGGAAGTAGTTACGGAGTTTAGCGAAGATCCTTCTCAATCGATTAAAGATTGCATAATTATTTTGGAAAACAAAGATTTGCGACAAGATCTAGCTTTTCTAAGAAGCAATTATCAACTCGTACGTGAGGTAATAGAAAAGTTAGAAAAACCCAACATGTTGTTGGTAGATGCCATAAACTTAGTGAAAGAATTTAAACAACAAGCAAACACAGTAAGGGGTGATATTCGTACTAGAGTATCTCAAAAACTTGACGAAGTGTTAAATAAAAATGCAGGTTTCGGTGTTCTTTCCGACGTTGCTCGTGTTTTACAAGGCCAGAAGGTGGAAAATTTGGAGTTAGATTCAACATTAGTTGCAAAATTCAATTTGCGCCAACAACGAGTGTGGATGTTGAACGCACATTCTCCAATTTTAAACACATTTTAAATGATCGGCGAAAAAATTTTACAGTGGACAACTTGGAACATATTACAATCATAAATTGTTTTAAAGAAAACTGAAATACGTGTGTAAAATATAAAGTCTAGGATTATTGTAATAATATTTTATCCAAAGTTCTAAGAAGTGTTCTTTGATTTGTAACATGATTATGTTTTTAATGCTTTTTTGCTTAAAATAAAACTTTTTTATTGAAAATGTTGAGCTTATAAATCCGCTCTCTAGTCATGAATATTGGAAAGTGACACATAAATCACATTGATGAGAATAACGAGCTCCTTTATACCTAGACCGCGTCGATTTCTTCAAAGTGGTACCTCATTAGCGTTCCACCCTGAAAGACATTTTTCACAAAGTTGAAACCCTTTGCAACAAACCTCCGTCATTAAACCTTGTACGAAAGCCTGACCTAATTGCAACTCCGTTTGATTTTTGATCAGAGTTCTGAAACCCGATTATCCTTTCCAGCTGCGACGAGACCGTGAATCCTTTGGCTCTCGAGGAGCGGCGCTTCTTCCACCCTTCAAAGGATCGTTGGCAGACGGTGCCAAACCGGCCGACGGCGTGGCGTCTCAAGCCGAATTCTTATATATGGGTGCCCTCGATGCAACTGTTCCCCGACGCCAAGATCCGGCCCTTTCCCCGGGAGTTCGCCCTCTTTGTCACTTTGAGAGTGCAGAACGTAAGTTTTTGCAGATTTCTAAAAGCACGAGATGAAATTTGCTGCAAGAAAGAGGCGCGCTGGGACAAAAAAGGTTTTATAGGATCATATCCTGGTGAAATACGATTTATCTTCATTGGATTTTATGTTTCCCTTTTCATCTTAGTCTATTCTATTATCACTGATAAAGGAACTCTACACATGCAGCGCGTTTTTGCAATATTGTCCTTCCTCTTGTTCTTAGGGGCTCATCAATCATCGCGGAGCGGGCTTTTTCCGCCTTTATTCGGTTATTAGGGGACGGCGGAGGATGATGGACTTAAGCTGATAAAATTCAAAACGTGGGACACTTAAGGCTGTTACCGCACTGATATCAGCAAGAAACTGCAACGACGGGGGTTTTACTTATCACTGGGGTCATTTACAACCACAATGGTGAAGATCCTCGTCCATTTGTGACAGACGTCACAGACGAACTTTTACTTGTGTTAGTGAGAAACTATATTAAATTTACAAAAACAAATTGTTCGAAATACAAGCTGATTTCGAAATGTGTGCAATGAAAAAATGATAATAATTAACTTAATTCATTAATTAATTAAGAATAATCAGAAGAATGAAGATAGCGGTGGGTGGGCGGGGCTATCATTTGCTTATAACACATTGTAAAACAGGCTAAACTTAGCTCCGCCCATCTCTCTTCTCCATTTTGATAACCTATTTTATTTCTGCAAAGTAGGATTTGAATTTTGATTGGACAAGCGGCTGAATGTAAGATTCAACCCAAAGCGAAAAGTGGCCCCACCCACCCAATCATACTCCATTTTGGTGACTCATTTTATTGCCTTTGAGTCGAAAGTTAAATTTTATTTTGACAAATAATAGAATCTAGGACCAAATATTTTTTAATAAAAAGTTTATTATTCGAAACACGAATTGCAGCCAGATCGAAATTTTTAAAAATCAAGTAGAGTACACACAATAAGCTACAACTGTAAACGCCCCTCCTATTCTCCTGGCCAGTGAAATGATTTATTAAGGTGGAGCTTGTACTAGTGGGAGGAGCATTAGTAATATTATGTTTTAACATTGTTTTCACGTTGTGCTTATTTAACACCAGCTGAATATTTTTAGATGCTTTATTTAGAATTTATCTATTTTCTCACCAACGATTTAACAAATTTGAGTAACAAACTAAAAGATAATAATGTTGTTATTATTTAACAATTTCAAGAGTCGTTAGAATAAATGGAGGGTTGCTGGGCGGGGCTATTCCTGGCTCATAAGACTGCAAAAAAAATCTAAACTTAACTAACCCCATCTCCTTTGTCCATTTCACTGATTTATTTGATTTACTGCAAAACAGGAATTGAATTTTGATTTGACAAACGATAGAATTTAAGATTTAACTCAAAGAAAAAAGTGGCCCCACCCACCCACCCGTACTCCATCTGGTGACTCATTTTATTGGCTCTGAGTCGAAAGTTGAATTTTATTTTGAGAAATAATAGAATCTAGGACTAAATATTTTTGATAAAATTTTTATTTTTATTTGAAACACGACTTTGCCGTCAGGGTTTACATAGAAATATTTAAAAATCATGTAAAGCAGACACAATAATGTAAACGCCGCCTATTTCTCCAGGCCAATGAAATAATTTATTGAGGTGGAGCTTGTACGAGTGGGAGGAGCATTAGTAATATTACGTTTTACATTGTTTTCACGTTTGGTGTGCTCATTTAACGCCAGCTGAATATTTTTAGATAATTTATTTAGAATTTACCTATTTCCTCACCGAGGATTTAACAAATTTGAGTAAGAAACTAAAAGATAATAATGTTGTTATTAATTAACAATATCAAGAGTCGTCAGAATAAAGGAAGGGTGGGTGGGCGGGGCTATTCCTTGCTCATTAGACTGCAAAAAAATCTAAACTTAACTAACCCCATCTCCTTTGTCCATTTCACTGATTTATTTGATTTACTGCAAAACAGGAATTGAATTTTGATTTGACAAACGATAGAATTTAAGATTTGACTCAAAGAAAAAAGTGGCCCCACCCACCCACCCGTACTCCATTCTGGTGACCCATTTTATTGGCTCTGAGTCGAAAGTTGAACTTTATTTTGACAAATAATAAAATCTAGGACCAAATATTTTTTAACACAATTTTTATTTTTAATCGAAAAACGACTTTGTCGTCAAGGTTTACATAGAAATATTTAAAAATTATGTAAAGTAGACACAGTGAGGTGCAACTGTAAACACCGCCCATTTTTCCAGCCAACGAAACGATTTATTAAGGTGGAGCTTGTGCGAGTGGGAGGAGCATTAGTAATATTATGTTTTACATTGTTTTCACGTTTGGTGTGCTTATTTAACACCAGCTGAATATTTTTAGATAATTTATTTAGAATTTATCTATTTTCTCATCAACGATTTAACATATTTGAATAAGAAACTAAAAGATAATAATGTTGTTATTAATTAACAATATCAAGAGTTGTCAGAATAAAGGGAGGGTGGGTGGGCGGGGCTATTCCTTGCTCATAAGACTGCAAAAAAATCTAAACTTAACTAATCCCGTGTACTTTGTCCATTTCACTGATTTATTTGATTTACTGCAAAATAGGAATTCAATTTTGATTTGACATACGATAGAATTTCAGATTTAACTCAAAGAAAAGTGGCCCCACCCACCCACCCGTGCTTCACTCTGGTGACCCATTTTATTGGCTCTGAGTCGAAAGTTGAATCTTATTTTGAGAAATAATAGAATCTAGGACTAAATATTTTTTAATAATTTTTTTTTTATTCAAAACACGGCTCTGCCGTCAGAACATAGAATATAGAACGTAGAACATTACATACAAATATTTAAAAATCAAGTAAAGCAGACACAATGAGGTATAACTGTAAACGCCGCCCATTTCTCCAAGCCAATGAAATAATGTATTGAGGTAGAGCTTGTACAAGTGGGAGGAGCATTAGTAATATTATGTTTTACATTGTATTCACGTTTGGTGTGCTTATTCAACTCCAGCTGAATATGTTTAGATAATTTATTTACAATTTATCTATTTTCTCATCAAAGATTTAACAGATTTGTATAAGAAACTGAAAGATAATAATGTTGTTATTAATTAACAATATCAAGAGTCGTCAGAATAAAGCGAGGGTGGGTGGGCGGGGCTATTCCTTGCTCACGAGACTGCAAAAAAAATCTAAACTTAACTAATCCCATTTCCTTTGTCCATTTCACTGTTTTATTTGATTTACTGCAAAATAGGAATTCAATTTTGATTTGACAAACGATAGAATCTATGATTTAACTCAAAGAAAAATTTGGCCCCACCCACCCACCCGAACTCCATTCTGGTGACCCATTTTATTGGCTCTGAGTCGAAAGTTAAATTTTATTTGACAAATAATAGAATCTAGAACTAAATATTTTTTCATAAAATTTTTATTTTAATTCGAAACACGACTTTGCCGCCAGGGTTTACAAAAAATTGTTAAAAATCATGTAGAGTAGACACAATACCGTAAAACTGTAAACACCATTCCTCTTCTCCAATGAAATGATTTATTAAGGTGGAGCTTGTGCGAGTAGGAGGAGCTTACTAATATTGTGTTTTAATTTTGTTTTCACGTCTGGTAAGTTTATTTACCACCAGCTGAATATTTTTAGATAATTTCTTTAGAATTTACATATTTTCTCACCAACGATTTAACAGATTTGAGTAACAAACTAAAAGATAATAATGTTGTTACTAATTAGCAATATCAAGAGTCGTTAGAATAAAGGGAGGGTGGGTGGGCGGGGCTATTCCTTGCTCATAAGATAGCAAAAAAAATCTAAACTTAACTAATCCCATCTCCTTTGTCCATTTCACTGATTTATTTGATTTACTGCAAAATAGGAATTCAATTTTGATTTGACATACGATAGAATTTAAGATTTAACTCAAAGAAAAAAGTGGCCCCACCCACCCACCCGTACTTCATTCTGGTGACCCCTTTTATTGGCTCTGAGTGGAAAGTTGAATTTTATTTTGAGAAATAATAGAATCTAGGACTAAATATTTTTTAATAAAATTTTTATTTTTAATCGAAACACGACTTTGTAGTCAGGGTTTACATAGAAACATTTAAAAATAATGTAAAGCATCAGAATAAAGGGAGGGTGGGTGGGCGGGGCTATTCCTTGCTCATACGACTGCAACAAAAATGTAAACTTAACTAATCCCGTCTCCTTTGTCCACTTCACTGATTTATTTGATTTACTACAAAATAGGAATTGAATTTTGATTTGATAAACAATAGAATCTAAGATTTGACTCAAAGAAAAAAGTTGCCCCACCCACCCACCCGTACTCCATTCTGGTGATCCATTTTATTGGCTCTGAGTCGAAAGTTGAACTTTATTTTGACAAATAATAAAATCTAGGACTAAATATTTTTTAACACAATTTTTATTTTTAATCGAAAAACGACTTTGTCGTCAAGGTTTACATAGAAACATTTAAAAATAATGTAAAGCAGACACAATGAGGTATAACTGTAAACGCCGCCCATTTCTTCAGGCCAATGAAATAATTTATTGAGGTGGAGCTTGTATGAGTGGGAGGAGCATTAGTAATATTATGTTTTACATTGTTTTCACCTTTGGAGTGCTCATTTAACACCAGCTGAATATTTTTAGATAATTTATTTACAATTTATCTATTTTCTCATCAAGGTTTTAACAGATTTGAGTAAGAAACTAAAAGATAATAATGTTGTTGTTAATTAACAATATCAAGAGTCGTCTGAATAAAGGGAGGGTGGGTGGGCGGGGCTATTCCTTGCTCATACGACTGCAACAAAAATGTAAACTTAACTAATCCCGTCTCCTTTGTCCATTTCACTGATTTATTTGATTTACTACAAAATAGGAATTGAATTTTGATTTGATAAACAATAGAATCTAAGATTTGACTCAAAGAAAAAAGTTACCCCACCCACCCACCCGTATTCCATTCTGGCGACCCATTTTATTGGCTCTGCGACGGAGGTTGAATTTAATTTTGACAAATAATAGAACCTTGGATTACATATTAAAAATAAATATTTTTATTCGAAACACGACCTTGCTGCCAAAGTTTACATATAAATTTTTAAAAATCATGTAAAGTAGACACAACGAGGTACAACTGTAAACGCCACTCCTCTTTTCCGGGCCAATGAAATGATTTATTAAGGCGGAGCTTGTGCGAGTAGGAGGAGCTTTAGTAATATTGTGTTTTAAAATTGTTTTCACATCTGCTATGTTATTTACCACCAGCTGAATATTTTTAGATAATTTATTTAGAATTTATCTATTTTCTCACCAAGGATTTAACAAATTTGAGTAAGAAACTAAAAGATAATAATGTTGTTATTAAATAACAATATCCAGAGTCGTTAGAATAAAGGGAGGGTGGGTGGGCGGGACTATTCCTTGCTTATAAGACTCCAAAAAAAATCTAAACTTAACTAAGCACATTTTCTTTGTCCATTTCCCTGATTTATTTGATTTACTGCAAAATAGGAATTGAATTTTGATTTGACAAACGATAGAATTTAAGATTTAACTCAAAGAAAAATTTATCCCCACCCACCCACCCGAACTCCATTCTGGTGACCCATTTTATTGGCCCTGAGTCGAAAGTTGAATTTTATTTTGAGAAGTAATAGAATCTAGGAGTAAATATTTTTTAATACATTTTTTTTTATTCGAAACACGACCTTGCTGCTAGAGTTTACATATAAATTTTTAAAAATCATGTAAAGTAGACACAATGAGGTACAACTGTAAACGCCACTCCTTTTCTCCGGGCCAATGAAATTATTTATTAAGGTGGAGCTTGTGCAAGTGGGAGGAGCTTTAGTAATATTGTTTTTTAATATTGCTTTCACGTCTGATATGTTATTTACCACCAACTGAATATTTTTAGATAATTTCTTTAGAATTTATCTATTTTCTCACCAAGGATTTAATAGATTTGTGTAAGAAACTGAAAGATAATAATGTTGTTATTAATTAACAATATCAAGAGTCGTCAGAATAAAGGGAGGGCGGGTGGGCGGGGCTATTCCTTGCTCATAAGACTGCAAAAAAATCTAAACTTAACTAATCCCATCTCCTTTGTCCATTTCACTGATTTATTTGATTTACTGCAAAATAGTAATTGAATTTTGATTTGACAAACGATAGAATTTAAGATTTAAGTCAAAGAAAAAAGTGGCCCCACCCACCCACCCGTACTCCATTCTGGTGACTCATTTTATTGGCTCTGAGCGAAAGTTGAATTTTATTTTGACAAATAATAGAATCTAGAACTAAATATTTTTTTATAAAATTTTTATTTTTAAACGAAAATCGACTTTGTCGTCATGGTTTACATGGAATCATTTAAAAATAATGTAAAGCAGACACAATGAAGTATAAGTGTAAACGCCACCCATTTCTGCAGGCCAATGAAATAATTTATTTAGGTGGAGCTTGTATGAGTGGGAGGAGCATTAGTAATATTATGTTTTACATTGTTTTCACGTTTGGGATGCTCATTTAACACCAGCTGAATATTTTTAGATAATTCATTTAGAATTTATCTATTTTCTCACCTAGGATTTAACAGATTTGAATAAGAAACTATAAAATAATAATGTTGTTATTAATTAACAATATCAAGAGTCGTTAGAATATAGGGCGGGTGGGTGGGCGGGGCTATTCCTTGCTCATAAGACTGCAAAAAAAATCTAAACTTAACTAATCCCGTCTCCTTTGTCCATTTCACTGATTTATTTGATTTACTGCAAAATTGGAATTGAATTTTGATTTGACAAACGATAGAATTTAAGATTTAACTCAAAGAAAAAAGTGGCCCCACCCACCCACCCGTACTTCATTCAGGTGACCCCTTTTATTGGCCCTGAGTGGATGAAAGTTGAATTTTATTTTGAGAAATAATAGAATCTAGGACTAAATATTTTTTAATAAAATTTTTATTTTTAATCGAAAAACGACTTCGTAGTCAGGGTTTACATAGAAACATTTAAAAATAATGTAAAGCAGATACAATGAGGTATAACTGTAAACGCCGCCCATTTCTCCAGCCAATGAAATAATTTATTAAGGTGGAGCTTGTGCGAGTGGGAGGAGCATTAGTAATATTATGTTTTACATTGTTTTCACGTTTGGGATGCTCATTTAACACCAGCTGAATATTTTTAGATAATTTATTTAGAATTTATCTTTTTACTCATCAAGGATTTAACAGATTTGAGTAAGAAACTAAAAGATAATAATGTTGTTATTAATTAACAATATCAAGAGTCGTTAGAATAAAAGAAGGGTGGGTGGGCGGGGCTATTTCTTGTTCATAAGACTGCAAAAAAATCTAAACTTAACTAATCCCGTCTCCTTTGTCCATTTTACTGATTTATTTGAGTTACTGCAAAATAGGAATTCAATTTTGATTTGACAAACGATAGAAGCTATGATTTAACTCAAAGAAAAAAGTGGCCCCACCCACCCACCCGTACTCCATTCTGGTGACCCATTTTATTGGCTCTGAGTCGAAAGTTGAATTTTATTTTGACAAATAATAGAATCTAGGACTAAATATTTTTTAATAAAATTTTTATTTTTATTCGAAACACGACTTTGCCATCAGGGTTTACATTGAAATATTTAAAAATCATGTAAAGCAGACACAATGAGGTATAACTGTAAACGCCGCCCACTTCTCCAAGCCAATGAAATAATTTATTAAGGTGGAGCTTGTACGAATGGGAGGAGCATTAGCAATATTTCACTTACAATTTATCAATCTTCTCATCAGCGGTTTAACAGATTTGAGTAGGATTCTAATAAGAAAATAATCTTGTAATTGATTAACAATATTAAGATTTGTCACCAGAATAAAGAAAGGGTGGGTGGGCGGGGCTATCGCTTGCTCATAAGACTACAGATATACCTAAGCTTAACTCCACCCACCTTCTTTCTCCACTTCACCTACAGTAATAGTTTAGAATTAACAGTGAGGTTGTGGACACCCTGTATAGGTTACATTTGCGAATATTTTCATGTCGTTACTTCTGACGTTGTTTTTGTTGTCTGATTGACGCTAAAAATAACTGGCTCGAGATAATTGAGTTGTTTTCCAGTTCGTATGAAGTAAAGTACCGAGAATTTATGACCAAGGTCTGCACAATCAAGAGAAATTAAAAAAACCATTCAACTTACTCCGACAGGGTTTCTAGAGTTCTAGACAGCTAGACATTAAAAAGTTTATTCTTTTTATTACGGACATAAATCTGCCTCCAGCACTTTTTCTCCAGACGTTGCTCTTCCAACCTCATTTATGAATAAAACATAATTAAGTCTATTCAGGACCTCGGCCGAAATATTATGATTTTTAATGGAAAAGATACAAAAAGCTCCTTTCGTCATAAATAAATCCGTTTTTTAATTAGCAGTCCACCGTCTCCGATTCCAACCAGAAACATTCACGCATGTTGTTACTCAATTCGAATCCCCCAAACAAAAGCTTCTTTTATCTTTTCATCTTCACAGCAAAGCACAATGGGAACAATATTCAGCCTGCGTTCTCGCCGCCGCCAGGACACCTATTTATCCTTGGAGATCGCAGGGATTGATTTGAAATTAATTCACGCCGCATCGAACGGCACCGATGTGGTCCGGATACCAAGTCAGCTGGGAGATGGGTTATGGCACCAGATAGCTATAAGGTAAGAGAATCCCACTTAAAGCCACCACGAAATTTCAAAGCGGCCGAATTTCAGCATCCGAGATGACAGCGTCGTCGATAGTTATGTGGATTGTGAGTGGTCCAGGACTGACATTTTGAGGTCTCACACCCTCGACATTCCGGACGATTCCGACCTGATCATCGGTTATCTGTTTACGGTAATTAACGTTATCCCATGGGCTTAGAGTTATATCCCTTTGAATTGGGGTTGTGCTTACGGAATTAAATCGCACGCCGGTTTGTCCGCAGAACGCATGGAAAAATGTGGAGGCTTTTTGTATACAATTTGCCCACTCAACAATTACAACAAAAAAAAAATTAATTCAATTTTAAAACACTCACATTTACTTTTTTGTTAATACTAGGTTTCCTAACCAAGATAAGCAAATTTAAATTTAAATACGGTTTTTACAATGTTTGTAGACACCTTTTTTTCGTTATTTTAGTTTTTTTTGTCTCTTTTGGCTGACTATATTTGCTGTTTTTGTTACATTTTAAAAGTAGGGGAAGTTCTGTACAAATGTCCTTACATTTTTTTATGCGAATGATTTAATTTTTTTTTAGATGTTATTGCTGCTGCAAGTTTACATCATCGGGACTGCTAAAACTAAGAAATAATTTCTAGATTTTTCAAAGCCCCGCCCACTCGTCCCATATTTTCTCAGAGGATATGTCATTTGCCAAAATCAGTCTTATCTTTCCAAATACTAGCCCCACCCGCCCGCCCCCTAGGGTACTACTTGATATTACTTGATATTACTTGCTAAGATTAGTCTTATTTTGGCAAATCACATATCCTGTGAAAAAAATAGGGGCGGGTGGGCGGGTTTAGTACTTGCTCAGATAAGACTGATTTTGGCAAATGCCATACCCTTTGAATAAATAGAGGGCGAATGGGCGGGGCTAGCACTTGCTAAGATAAGACTGATTTTGCCCCTATTAAACTCATAAAAACTTGTTAAATTTAAAAGGTGTTAAATAGTATATTTCCATAGTAACAACATTAACAAATAAAAAAAATTAAAATCGAAAATTTAAAAATTCCGAATATTGAAAAATTGAAATATAAAATATATATGAAATCGAAGTATAAAACAGTCGAAAAATTGAAAATCTAAAGTTTAAAAAACGAAAAATTGAAAATGCATAAAGTAAAAAGTTGAGAAGTCGAAAAACCCAGAACCCGAAAAGTTGAAATACTAAAAAAAAATCCCAAAACTCAAATATTAAAAAAATTGAAAAATAGGAGAAAAATACTGAAGAATTGAAAAACTGGAAAATCACAAAATTGAACGAAACATCCAAAAATTGGGAGATTAAAAAATTGAAAAATTGAGAAATCAAAGACAAAGTTGGAAAATGGCAAACTTAAAAAAATCGAAAAATTGAAAAATCAAAAACCTGAAAAATCGAAAAATTGAAGAACTCAAGAATTGAAGATCGGAACTTTGGGAAGTCGAGAAATGGGAAAATCGAAAACAGAGAAATCGGAAAACTGAAAATTTAGCAACGTCAAAATTTGAAAAAATAGAAACACTGAAGAACTGAAAAATAGAAAAATTTAAAATTTAAAACATTGAACAATTAAAATATGGCAAAATTGAAGAATCGAGAAATCCGAACATCAAAACATAAAAATTTGAAATCTAAAATTTAAAAACCAAAAAACCCAAAAATCGACAAACGAGAAATCGAAGCTCCAGAATTTAAAAAATTGAAAATTTGAAAAATCGGGTAACTGAAAAATTGAAAAGTCCAAAAATAAAAAATCGAAAAAGCGAGAAATCCAAAAATCGAAACATCGAAAAATTCCAAATTGAGACATCGAGAAATTGTATAATCGAGGCATCGAAACATTTGAATTCGATAAATCGAAAAATCAAAAAAGTCAAAAATGAAAAATTCAAAAATATAAAATTTAAAAATCGAAAAACGGAAAATCGAGAAATCGAAACTCCTAAATACAAAATCGAAGAACTTGAAATCCGAGAATTAAAAAATCGAAAAAATCAAAACATGGAGACATCAAAAGGTTAAAAATTGAAAAATTGATAAATCGAAAAATTAAACATTCAAAGCAAAGAGAAATCAAAAAATTCAAAAAATTGAAAAATGAAATATTGAGAAATCGAAAAATCAAAAGATCTAGAAGGCGAAAAAGTTAAAAGTTGAAAAATTTGAAAATCGAAAAATGTAAAAATGTGAAAATAAAAAACGAAAAAACGGAAAAATGGGAAAACCGAGAAACCGAATTAGGTCAAAATAAAAAATCGAAAAGTTATACATTGAAAAACTCATAAATCGAGAAACTGAACAGTCAAAACATCGAAACATCCAAATCTCGACAAAACACTGAAAAATAAAAAAAAAACGAAAAATTAAAAAAATCGAAAATTTGAAAAAACGAAAAATGGAAAAACAGAAAATCCAAAACTGGAAAGCTAAAAACTGAATTATTAAGAAATCGAACATTTGAATAATTCGAAAAACTGAAATATCGAAGAACTGAAATGGAAAATTGGGAAATCGAAAAATCTAAAATTTTAAAAATTCAAAAATTAAAATATCAAATAAATGAAAAATCTAAAGTTTAAAAAACGAAAAATTGTGAAATTAAAAAATTGAAACATCGAAAAGTCAAAACAGCAAAGTCGAAAAAGCAAACTTCAAATATCGAAAAATTGAAAAATCAAAAACCTGAAAAATCTAAGAATTAAGGACTGAAACATCAAAACTTTGGGAATTCGAGACATGGGAAATCAAAAAATAGATTAATTGAGAAAATTCAGAAACGGCAAAAAAATCAAAAATATTGAAGAACTGAAAAATCGAAAAATCTAAAATTTAAAACATTGAAAAATTAAAATATCGTAAAATAGAAAAATAGAGAAATCTAATTATCAAGAAAACAAAAAAAAAATAAAATTCGAAAATCTAAAATTTAAAAATCGAAGATGTGAAAAATCAACAAATCGAGAAACCGGAACTCGAAAATGAAAACAATTGGAAAATTGAAAAATCGAAAAACCGAAAAATCGAAAAGCCGCAGAGTAAAAGTTGAAAAATTGAGAAATCGAAAGATAAAATATAAAATATAAAAATTGGAGAATTTAAATTTTAACATACGAAAAACTGAAAACACAAAAAATTAAAATTGAAAAATGCAGAAGTCGAAAAAACGAAAACTCTAAGAGAAGATTGAAAAACCCCAAAACTGAAAGAAATATCCAAAAATTAAGAAATAAAAAAATTCGAAAATTGGGAAATTGAAAAACCAAAAGAAAAAATCGAAAATTCGAAGAATTGAAGAATTGAAAAATCGAAATTTGGAGAAGTCGAGAAGTGGGAAAAAAAACTAAATGAGAAATCGGAAAACTGAAAATTTAGCAACGTCAAAATTTGAAAAATTGAACAATAAGAATACTGATGAACTGAAAAACCAAAAAATCGAAAGCAAAATCGAAAATTCTAAAATTTAAAACATTGAACAATTAAAATATCGCAAAATTGAAAAATCCAGAAATCCAAGCATCAAAAAATCAAAAAATGAAAATTCTAAAAACTAAAATTTAAAAATCAAAAAATTGAAAAATCGAAAAACTTTAAAAAAGAAAAATTCGGAAAATGGAAAAATTGAGATATAGAAGAACTGAAAACTTGAGAAATCGATAAACCTAGAATTTTAAAAATTGAAAAATTAAAACATGAAAAGGTTGAAATATTGAGAAAACGAAGTATAATAAGCAGTCGAAAAATTGAAAATTCTGAAGTGTAACGTAAAACTGAAAGAGAAATCAAAAGATTCAACAATTACAACAAAAAAAAAATTAATTCAATTTTAAAACACTCACATTTACTTTTTTGTTACCACTAGGTTTCCTAACCAAGATAAGCAAATGTAAATTTAAATACGGTTTTTACAATGTTTGGAGACACCTTTTTTTCGTTATTTTAGTTTTTTTGTCTCTTTTGGCTGACTATATTTGCTGTTTATGTTACATTTTAAACGTAGGGGAAGTTCTGTACAAATGTATTTACATTTTTTTATACGAATGATTTAATTTTTTTTGTAGATGTTATTGCTGCTGCAAGTTGACATCATCGGGACTGCTAAAACTAAGAAATAAATTCTAGATTTTTCAAAGCCCCGCCCACCCGCCCTCTATTTTCTCAGAGGATATGTCATTTGCAAAATCAGTCTTGTCTTACCAAATACTAGCTCCGCCCACCCGCCCTTTATTTTCTCAGAGGTTATTACTTGCTAGTACTTGCCAAGATAAGTCTTATTTTGGCAGATGACATATCCTCTGAGAAAATAGGGGCGGGTGGGCGGGGCTAGTACTTTGTAAGATAATACTGATTTTGGCAGATGATATATCCTCGAGAAAACAGGGGGCGGGTGGGCGGGGCAAGTACTTGGTAAGATAAGACTGATTTTGACAGACGACATATCCTCTGAGAAAATAGAGGGCGGGTGGGTGGGGCTAGTGCTTGCAAAGGTAAAACTTATTTTGGCAGATGACATAAATTCTGAGAAAATAGGGGGCGGGTGGGCGGGGCTAGTATTTGGTAAGATAAAAGTGATTTTGCCCCTATCAATCTTGTTAAATTTAAAAGGTGTTAAATTGCATATTTCCATTGTAACGAGTTAAATTCCTAGCTCTGATTGGATATCTCAACAAATAAAAAAAATTCAAATCGAAAATTAAAAAATTCCGAATATTGAAAAATTGTAATATAAAATATATATGAAATCGAAGTTTAAAACAGTTGAAAAATTGAAAAACTAAAGTTTAAAAAACGAAAAATTGAAGATCCAAAAAGTAAAATGTTGACAAATCGAAAAATCCAGAACTCGAAAAGTTGAAATACTAAAAAAAAAATACCAAAACTCAAATATTAAAAAAATTCAAAAATAGGAGAAAAATATTGAAAATTGAAAACTTGAAAAATCACAAAATTGAACGAAATATCCAAAAATTGGGAGATTAAAAAATTGAAAAATTAAGAAATCACAAAGTCAAGAAAACAAAGTTGAAAAATGGTAAACTTGACAAATCGAAAAATTGAGAAATCTAAAACTGAAAAATCGATAAATTGAAGAACTGAAGAACTGAAGATCGGAACTTTGGGAAGTCGATAAATGGGAAAATCGATA